TGCTGTGTAAAAAAATGTAAAAAGTTGTAAATAGTTATAATATTGCTAAACTAGTTCGTTATACATTGCTATAAAGAAGTTCATGAAAAGTTGTAGAAATTTATAAAAATAGACATTTATAGACCGGTCTAAATACTTTTTACAAATCAATACAATTTATTGCAATTTACCATGAATTTCTACAATTTTCACAAATTTATAGAAATTTGCGATTGGTTGTATAACATTTCAATTTCGTTGTAAATGTAAAAGTAATTGTTCCAAAATTATTTCCACCAAATAATAGACTACTGTTTCTTTTTCCATTGTATGAGATGTAGGTCAAATCCGGAATAAAAGGAAGATCAAGGCTAGTTGTCACATTTTTAAACACTGATTTAAAAAAAAATGTTAGCAATATTTTATAATATCGTACTACTACCTTGCTCGGGGGGCGGTAGAGCCGTACCCGGATTTGCGATAAAGCGAAGCTCGAAGGACCAGGGGGTGTAAGCCTCCCCCAAAGCGAGTTATCTTAAGCAAATGCGACTCACCGTTCGTTGTGCCGTCGACTCCTGGATGCTTCGGCTCGGTCGCGATCGGGCTCGTGCAGCAGCGCAAGCAGGGCAGCAAGCAAGGCGAAAGCGAGGCAGGCAGCAGTAAGTTAAGGCAGGCAGCAAGCAAGCAGGAGGAAGCAGGTAAAGGCAGCACACAAACAGGCCGAGAAAGTAGGCGATCGCACTATCCGGGAGCGAACGGATGATCTCGCGACTCCGGATATTAGCGCAAGTCTCACTGCTCCGATAATCTCTCTGTGCTCCGTTAATCTCTCTGTGCTCCGAGACGTCGTAACGATGAGTCCGAGAGCTCGCGGCGCTGGAACAGTGTCGCGAGCGAGTACTTGTTCTTCCGGCGGGTGCCCTCGTGGGGTGAGCGAGGGCAGCACCGATTGGTGAGTCGCGCAATTATCGATTCCGCGTTGATCGCGATCCGCCGACGTTTCGCGCGAGTCACCGAAATACTTAAGACTAGGTACGCAAGAATACTATGTACAACGAGTAACGAGACTAAACAATTAAGTATGATACATGCATCTATCTACAGTTTGGTGAGCGCCAAACAACCTTATGATGCAGCTACATCTTTTAGGTGTAAGAAAAGAAATGTTTGACTTATTTATATTTATACACAAAAAAGTTATATAATTCTAAGTAGAAGCGTGCAAATGTGACAATTTACCCCATACCCAGGGTTGGTTTTCACATGACTCCGAATTGGTTATCACATATCTTTCATATAGAGGAAATATACGACAAATAATTCCTGGCTTAATATTTTATTAAAGTCAGTGACAGTTTCTTGTAGATTTAACTTAATATATTTCAGCATGGGTTAAACAAAAAATTAATAATTTTCATGAACTTTGTAATATAATACATTTCTCTCATAAACTTAGAGTAAAGTAAAGAATAGTAATTCTCATAAACTTTGAATCCCATCTCATTTGAGACAACTTACCTCGAACGGTCTTTTTAAACAAAGAAAATTATATTTATAAACTATGTTGCAATAACGGTTAATTATAAATACAGGAAAAATTATCTAAAACTATACAATAATTCTTATGACTAAAAAGAAATTGCGATTAGTAATTCCAAAAACCAACGGAACAATAAAAATAGAGGTAAGAATAGTTTACTTCCCACGTTACAATTTAAAAAAAAAATGCTCGTAAATATCACATGCGATATTTTTGAAACGAGCTATTTCGTACATCCAACTAACACGATAAGAGCAACCTACACTATAAAGAAGAATATGCCACTTCATCTATTAGTGAGATTTAAGCCTTGTGACAACCAACTCGTGCGTTCTCTAGCCCCGGTCTTCCCTACTCTGTTTTGCCTCAACACGAGAAGAATAATAAACACGGCGGATGTACATTTCGCAGTACAAAGTAAAGATCAAAATTAGTTCAATATACTCTCTAATACGTACGGAATGCTGTGCTGCACTTACCGAGTTTTTCTATACAGATGCTCTGTGTAGAAAGAGTTTACGCGACGGCTCGTTTTATTATTGTTCCGATATCGAGATTTTCTGGTTTGAACACTTTGCACTTTTCCCAGAGGAAAATATCGTGTGGGCATTAACACAATTAATAACACGATTTATCCGAGGATAGCAGCACCTGTCACGAAGAAATAGAGATACCCGGTCGACCAATAGATTGCGTGTTTAGGTTGGCCTCTATGTATACTCCTTCTTTCGTTTAATAAAAAATAAAGAAAAAGAGGGGTACCCGGTTATATTCTACTTTTCTCTACAATTCTATCAAAATTTATTATATTGATCATCTTGGACCACAGTCTTTAACTAAAAAAAGATATCGTCATATTTTTGTAGTCGCGGATGCATTTTCAAAATTTGTATGGTTTTTCGGAATACGATCAACTAGATTAAGGGGATGCTGGAGCCGTAGCCGAACTCGATCGGCGTCGGTAAAGAAGACCGGCGAACTATATCTGTCCTTGTATAGATAAAGATATAGACAAGGATAGCACGCTACATTGCACGCACACATACGCACGATGCACGTCGACATTATACTTTTATATTACGCTTCCAAATCTTGATTTGGAGGGTTTATCGATGTTTTTCTTGTTGTGCAATTCGGGGGAACTTGTTTTCGCGTTCGTGCCAATGGTATATCTCTTATATGAAATACATCTTGTGACGAGCTGACAGCTCGCCGCAACTCGAGACGCCATATTGGGATAAAAGTAGGATAAGGAAATCTGTACTTCCGTAATTTTGTCTCGTTTTCTATATAAAATCAGAGTTCCCCCGAATCATTAATGTATGTACTGCAATTCTGGAGAAGGATTTTTAATTCTGTCAAATTAATACGACGCTACGTGCCGACAAAAAATGCCGGTAAAACAGACAGCTCCAGTATCCCCTTAATACAAATTAAAAATAATTCGTTTTTTTTTTTTTTAGTTTTTATGTACGAATAAAACTATTATTAATTATACTTAGTGTAGTTTAATTATAAGTTTATCAAGTTTACTGGTTGAGTTAAACAAAAAAAAATAAGAATCCTTATAAGCTTATGTAATAAATGTTTTACTTATTTTTATCAGTACTATATCTTATTAAAATTTCTAATCGTTCTGTAGATCATCCTGTGTACTATAGTATCAGAATCCTTAACAGCTATTTTTTTCACCGAGCAAATTATTTTTTGTAAATTTAAACTTGACTTTTGTTCTTTTATGTTTATCGCAATTATATCCCGGGAAAAAATATTTATATCTGACAGTATATGAACATATATAAATGAGATTAAACAGATATAAGCATATATGGAGCATATATAATTATATGGTTATCTTCGCCATATATGATCAGATCCGTACATTATACATGATCCCGGGAAAAAATATTCATATCTGACAGTACATATGAACTTATATAGTCATATAAAATTATATATGATCAAATCAGATATTGCATCTCAAAGTATTCGATAGATGGCATTCGATGGGATCTGTTTCTTGTATTTAAAATTTGACAACAGTGTTATATAAGAACGGTATCAAAAGACACGACACTGTCTCGCACTATATATAGAGCGGCACAATTTTTGTATTAGTTGTATCGTAGAGTCTACTTTTATAATAAAGTGACACACTCTTAAAAAATAATTATTTTGAAAATATCCCGGGAAAAAATATTCATATCTCATCATATATGATTATATCCAATAACAATTTTCTGAAACTTTTACTTAAATATATGTATATGTTCATACCTGATAAATATATAGTTCGTACCTGATCATACCTGATCAAATATTTAACATATACAATAATACCAGATCATATATAGCCTCAGATCTGGCCAATTTCCATATCTGACCGTATATGACCAATTGGATATGATCATATATGATGAGATATGAATATTTTTTCCCGGGATGTTTTTGATGTTGTCATTGATTGAGGTTCAATAAAATGTGATTAAATTAAAACAATGAAATTCTTAATTATTCCTTGATGTATATACGTAGATTAAAAAAAATAAAAAAATTATATTTTGTTTATTTTTTTATCAGTTTATTTATCTTTATTTCTAATTTAGAGATATGCGATGTTGTGGCACAAATCAGGTATAGAGTTATTCGATTTAATAGAAATATACTGTCTGATCATCGATGGATGGAGGAAGTGCTTCGCAAAAATTACAAATGGGAGTTAAATTTTATTACTCATTATTTCGAAATCTAGAGATTAGTTTAAAATTAAAAATTGGACAAATATGATCTTTTTGGTTAATTAGTATCTCTTGTTAATCTAGAAGTTTCTGTGCTTAATTCGAAATGAAACTTTATATTGTTGCTTTGGGAGAAGGTAATTCGAAAGTAAAGTGTAAAGCAAAGTGTAAACTATGAAACCGGAATTTTGTATATAATCGGGTAGAAGAGAAATATTTATTCCTAAATAATAATAATAATATTATTGAAATGTTATGTCGGATCTGTCAGGTAAAGTGAGAATTTAATGTATTTTATTTACTATATTCTATATAAATATATAATCTATATCTATATAATAAAGAAGTTCCTGACATATCCCTCATCAGAAACCCATTTGTTCATTCATTATTTTCCTATCATATTTTAGCAATTAACAGTTATTATTGCATAAATAAGATAGTCGACTCATTAATTATTACAGTAGAACTTGACTGCGCAAAACTTCAATAATAAGATATTCTAGTATTTTGAAGTTAGTCTCATTGTGTGTGTCAGTGAAAACAGTCGTGAATTATAAAAGTCCTTCGTGTAAATCTAATGCGCCAAATAAAATTTTTACCGTCAAATATAATTGAAAAATATCCAATTAAGCGTTCGACGTATGTATTTCCTGACGGCAAAATGTGAAATGTGCAAACTACAATATGTTGAAGATAGATTGTTGGCAATTTAGAATATTGCTCGAAAATTGCGAGACTACCGGCGTTCTCTGGTAGGTACGCGGTAGGTACATCCAAGTATATTTGTTTTAAGTTCTTACACAGCGTCAGCTGTTCGTCGAAATTGCCCCCAAGACCCATCAAATTGACTTCTTCCAGGAATTGGCAGGAGGAAAACAATCTATGTAAACTAAGCTGATCGATTCCACCCAAATTATTATTGTTCACGCTGCAACTAAAGCCATACTATTATTATAATTTTCGCAAAGAGAAAAACAACAATGTTTCATGATGTTTGCAAGAGATGTAAACATACAAATTTTGATAAAAAATATAATATTTAAAAGAAAATGTAGCACATACGTACGTCTATGAAATGTTCAGTTTTCGTAATTTCTTGCACTTAGCGAGGGCCTCAATACCTCGCGACGTAATAACACAGCCCTTTAAATCTATTATTTCCAAGTCTGGACACGAATTTCCCAATTGTATTGCAACTGCATCTCGATTTTTGGAAAACGTTCTGTTGAATGATCCGTTTTCTATGTCCAAATTTAAGTTACGCATCCGGCGATTTTTTTGCAATATTTTACAAAGAGTTTCAGTTGCTACATTTATCCCTTTAAGGTTTAAATCCTCTAGAAATTCTAGATTTTTGAGACACGAAATAGGAACGTCTTCTAGTTCGTATTTCGGATGACCACAAAAACTGAGATCCAATACTGAAAAAAAAATATATATATGTGTGTGTATTAGTCATACACAATTTACCTGTAATCTTAAATATTATATTTATTTATGCACATACCTTTCAACATTTTGCATGTTATCGAAATTCTTAATAGAACCGAGTTGTCAACAAATCGGCAGTTACTTAATCGTAAGTGCGTTAAACCCTTGCCGCAAATGTTGACAAATTCGTTGAAGTTTTGAACAGAAATGTTGCTTGATGTAAGATCTAATTGTTGTAAATATTCACATCTAGGTGTAAAGTAAAATAAAACATTGTGAACAGAAGTAGAATCTGTATAGCTCAAATTTCGTAAATTTAAACATTTAAAGAGAAGAGAATCTCGTGTTAAATTATTGAAGCGTTTATTTACTTGGCTCAAACGGCACAGCGACCTTATATCCAAGTTTTTTAATATTATTAGTACTATTTCTTTCTGTAAAGATAAAAAAAAATTAATACATGAGATTATATTGTAATAAATATTGGTACGACTTACGAGAAATATATTTCTTTGAATACTTACAGGAAGCGCAGAAAAACTGCTACGTATTGATTGCTCTTTGCATTCTTTCGAATAGAGTTTGATATCTTTTATTAACTTTGCATAATTTGGATGATGTCGTAAGAAATGGTTCCTACAAATGCCTCTCTTAATAATCGGATTTCTATATGTCTGCTCAGAACGTCCCACATCTATTTCCTGTGACATTTGCTTGTGCCCGAACTGGCTCTTGTTAAAACTCTTTGCTGTATTGCTGCAAACAACATATTAGAAAAATTTATTTTTATTATTAAGAGAATAATAAAGAAAGATTAAATATTACAATGATTCTTATACCTTTTACAAATAACGCAATATTTTGAGAAATTTTTTTGCAGATGAACTATATCCAAGTGTGCAGTTTTATCAGGTGTTAAATTATGGCTGTCTTCATGGCAAAGATAGTTGCAGTTAATACTTTTTAACAGATTAGTCAAATTTAGTTCAGGACTTTTAGGTTTGACTAATTCTGACGTGCCAATTAGCTTCACAGCATCTAGGTGTGTGGAATAGTCCCAATGGCTGTACATAAATTGTAGTTTGAGTTCATTGATTTTGAAGTTACAGAACTTTAACGGCGGCGAAAATATCCGCGATGTCAAAGGAACTGCAGTCTGAGGTGGTCCACTCCATAATAGAAACCATTGGTTCTTCCTCTGATCACATCCTCGAGCCCAAATTTCAGTTACATACCCAGGATTATATACTTCGTATATAGAGACTCTGACTGGATATACAGCTGTATGAAACTCGAGATCTTCAAAATAGAAAATTTAATTATAATCTTTTCTAAACATAAATGTATCTTCTATAACATTATCTTATTTATCAATTTTAAATGTTACTTACGAAGATAATTACAATACATGTGGCTAACATCTTGTGGTGGATTGTCATATGAGCTTGTTATAGGTTTTTGCCATGGAGATGTCGAGATGTCGAAACCATTAGTTCTCTATATTAAAAGATCAAGAAAATATTGTAGTATAAAATTATAGATTATGATTACTTTTTACAAAACAATAATAGATATCAAGAAATATACATACCATAACAAGTGATCCTGAAAAATCTCCATAATTAGGAAAATTGGTAGGTGGTCCGATTATATTTTTACTAGTTTTCGATATACTCCAAGTATTCCTATAGTTATACTCTTTAATACAGCTATGGCTATCCTTTACAAATTGATCGATGAAGTTAACATGATTTTTACCTGCTACGACTTTATTGATTAAATGATAGGATGCCATATTCTCCATCTAAAAAAAAATTATACGGAGTGTAATAATCTTAAACTGCGTTCTTAGCATAAGTATGTTAAAATGCTATATTGTAATATGATACTAGCTCTAAATTTGAATCGTGATATTTTCTTAAAGTACAATGCCTCAGGATTATTTTGGGACCAAAAACACGCAAGCACCTAATTCTTTGACGATTCTATAACGAATCACAGAACGCTGCGCGCGCGCTCCATGAGTTAATTAATTAATTTAAATCCTATGCAGCTAGCACTAAATTCGAATCGTGATATTTTCTTAAAGTACAATGCCTCAGGATTATTTTGGGACTATAATCACGCAAGCACTTAATTCTTTGACGATTTTGTAACGAATTATAGAGCGCTGCGCGCGCGCGCTTCATGAGTTAATTAAATAATTTCAACGCTATGCAGCTAACAATTTATCCATGGAGCGCGGCGCGCTTCGAATCGTAATATTTTATTAAAGTACAATGTCTCAGGATTATTTCGGCACCATAATCATGTGAGCACCTAATTTTTTGACAATTCTGTATCGAATTACAGAGAGCTCTGTGCGCGCGCTCCATGAGTTAATTAATTAATTTCAACGCTATGCAGCTAGCATTAAATTCGAATCGTGATATTTTTTTAAAGTACAATGTCTGAAAATTATTTTAATACTATAATCATGCGAGCAACTAATTCGTAGACGATCAGGTGACGGAACTTAGTGCTCAGCGCCAATGGCTGGTTTAAGTTAATTATCGTAATTGTTTTACTGCTAGCAATAAACTCAGATTTGGAAAAATTTTTTTCAAATCCACTTTTTCTATGTGACTTAAAATTGTTTGTAGTTGTTTGTAGTGATTTTGTTTTTGTTTGTAATTCTGCCGTTTGAGTAATAGTTGCGTTTAAACTATTCGCCAAGAGTGAACTTCGTTAATTATCGCAGTATTTCTTAATTTTATTTTTTTCCATATCATTCAGAAAGAGTGTAAACTTTGTTAATTTGCCAATATATTTCTTAATTTTGTTTTTTTTTTTTTATGATTCAGAATCGTTTGTAGTTGTTTGTAGTGATTTTGCTTTCGTTTTGTATCGTTTAAAAGTTACGATTGTTTAAACAATTCGCCAAGAGTAAGCTTTGTTAATTATCAAGATTTCCCAAATCTGTTTTTTTCTATGTGCTTTACAATCGTTTATAGTTGTTTGTAGTAATTTTACTTTTGTTAAAAAAAAAAAGATAAAGAATTTTACTTTATATACCCCAAGAGGCCTTAAAGGGTGTTTTGAAGGGACGTACCCAACCCTAACCTTCAATTCATCCTACTACCTTACTGTTTCCTACTTTCCTACTTTGGACCAACGGTTTAACGTCTCTTCCGAAGGACGGAATTTCACTTTTGTTTAGAATTGTATTATTTGAGTAATAATTGTGTTTAAACAATTCGCCAAGAGTAAATTTTGTTAATTATCAAAAAGGACTGATAAACAAGGTCAAGTTTTGCATCGCAATGGAACCTAAATCTATAAAATCTATAAAATCTAATCTATAAACATTCTTGTTTAAATTCTAAGAAATACGAACATAACTATCATTTATCCGAAATGGTGGAAAAATTGCGAAAATGGTGCATTAAGCTATCAGACTTTAATATTGGTTTACATAGAAACTAACTGTTCGCTTTAAAAATATTTTTTATTTTTTTATATTTCAAAACATTTTTTTAATTTCTAATTGCTTTATTAATTTAAGATTTAATATTTAATTTTTTTCAAAAGACGGATGTTTAGTAAAGGCATGTTGGGATGAAAAGGACATAATGGATAAAAAGAAAAAGGATTTATATAATTCGGAGAAAGGTTTTATAATAACAATGGTTAGAGCTCCGAAGTAATAAAAGAATTTAAATAATGAAGGTAAAAATACTGAAGGCTTAGTAAGAATAAGGGAACAGGACATTCAAGGGCAAATAATAAACAGTAAAATAGTAGAGGCGAGGTATCATACAAGGTACAAAGAAATAGAGGCGAGCAACAAAACACCGAGTTATTTATTAAAAGCGAACTTGGATAAAGTAAAAACAGGAGATGAGATTAGAGCGATGGTAAAATTAAGGTGCGGCAATTTAGAGGACACAAATAAATACTGGTTTGACGAAGAAGATACGAAGTGTAGATTATGCAAGTCAGGTAGGGACAACTTAGAGCATTATATAAGTGAGTGCAATATCACAAGTACGTGGTTTGAGAATCTAGGTAGGAATAACAAAGAGATATTAATGAACATATGCGATGACAAATTTAGTATGGAAAAAGGAAAAGTGTTAAATAGATTATGGAAAAGGAGAGAGGAATGTTATAAAAAAGATAACGGCTGTAAATAATAATGCATTGCGACTGGCATGTAAATGTGTGGATGGATGTGTGTTTTAAGTAGACTTGTAAACCAAGTCCTTTCTTGGCGTATAGCTGAAATAAAGACATATATATATATATATATATAATTAATTCCAAACAAACAATTAATAAATTAATAATTACAATAAAAAAATCGATAACAGTTAATTATTAGAAACAAGTAACCAGTGTTCACACATGTTACCATGGAAGTAATACGTCACATATCATGAGTTTCTTTTATGCGTGGTTAGACTAATAGTCCGGGAGCCAGCTGCCATTTTTTATGACCAAAATTAAGAAACCTAAGATTTTGCTGTATGGTTCATTTAGTATTGCTACTAAACGAAGTGACCGTCAGCTTGCGCATTTGCGGTGGGTGTTGCCGCGGCAGCCACCCACACACGTATAATTATAATAAAAAAAAAACAGACATAAAGAAAGCTAAGACTTTGTTTGTACGTTTATTATGATCTAAATAAACGGAAAATAGTAGTCAGCTGACTTCATGGTGGGGGGTTGTTGTACGTCAGCTTCCCGCCCAAACATGCAAAAAATATGCGCTAAGTAAATTTATACTAAGAAAGCTGAAATTTGGGGAAGTGATAGTCGACTTTAAAAGTTTCACGAAAATAATTGTCCGCTGAGCTTTTCGCGGTGGAAAAGTGCTCAGCTGACGACTGAAAAATACGGCGCATTGCTATGCACGCGGGCGCGTGGCATCCTTTACTGCATCAGCTGAGCACTTTTCTACTGCGAAAACCTCAGCGGACAATTATTTTCGTGTAACTGTTACAGATAACTATAAGTTTACAAATTTCTTGGTTTCAGATAACTTGATTTTTATTAATAAAACAGTGCGTATATGCGCGCGGGCGCGTTGCGCCTATCGCACTCAGCTGCTTATCTCTGACGCTCAATTATATTATATATGTAAATATGACCTTAAATATGTATACATGACAATATAAACGGTAAATACGTATATATAATATTATAAATAATAAACATTTACACATGCAAATGCCAGAAGTAAATATTTATGGATACAGAGATGTATTTCCTCGTCTCGGCTACACGCTCATAAACACCGAAGTTTTATGATCGAATACAATTGTAGCCCAGCTGACTAAGAGGACCGTCGCTACAGGTATATCCGTAAACGGTTTATAGTTTGAAAGGCTCCCTTTGCTCCCACCACAACGTCCCTGGGTCCGGCGGCTACTACCTGGACAACGATGACATATTTCGTCTGCCAGCAAAAAATATAGACGGGTCAGCTCTACCGCCTTGCAAAATCGAACTGCACCAACATTTGCTTCGGACGACGTACATCGCTAATATTTGAGATTTGAGCTCATGCACATCTTGCTGTTCCAACTGAATTGCACCCGACTGATTACGACTGGAGAGAAGAGGACAACAAATTTTTGTTCAAATGGTTCGACGGCGATCAGCTACCCCCTTCTCTTGGCGATATTACCATCGAGGAAGAAAAAGAAAGTACTGCAGGTCAAAATTATACTTCACTATTTCTTTATTCAAGTGTAATTTTTAGATTAGTTTTGTTTTTAATTTAAAAATACAATTTAGAAACAATTAAAACAATTTTTTATTACAACGTGAACACTTTTTATAAATAACATTCTAATTAATTTTAAAATTTTGCTCTTGCGTTATTATATCATTATATTATATATGTATTAAAATTATAAAACTAAAACTTTTTTATG